ATTCAGGGGCAGTTGAACTGCTTACTGCAGTTCCGCGGGCGCCCGCAGAGGCTTGGCTTCGAGAGGTTGGCACTGGCTCGTTTGGTGGGTACCAGCGGGCACCCGCGGGAGCTCGCGGGGGCCTCTGCGAGGGCTCAGCAAGGCTCCGCGAAATGGGGCACAGAGTTAAGGGAATTGGCGGGCACCCGTAAAAGCTTGCCACTGCAGCTTTAAATCAAGGCTTCTCGTAAGCCTTTCCGAGCCGGAGCACTGACGCGACTTCCACTATGAACACTAAGCCACGAACTTCACAAAAACGGCGACTGAAGAGGTTAGGTCCCGAAGATGACTCCCTGACAAAGCGCACGTATTTTAACAGAAAGTTGTCAAAATCGCTTCTTTAATCATTCTCGGGAAAAATACCAGAAATCAGAAAGAAATACACAAATGAATTAAAACTGTACATTATCCTCTAATAATTGACTTAACTAATGCAAGAAAGGGCGTTTGAATATGCAATATTCGGCGCTTATCAGCTAGTATACAGAAAGCCCTATCCTGATCATGTCGATGCTCATGAGTTGCCAAGAAATTATCGGTATCCCAATTTTTCTATGCATAGTGACGAAGAAAATTTCTCTACAGTGCAGCATATTGCAAGGTTCACCACACAATGTGGAGAAGCTGGTCCTACCCTTGGTTAAGGATGAGGTTATTTTCTAGTTCTCTAGCCGGGGCGGCGTTTGAATGGTACAGTAACCTACCGGCCAATTCTATTTAGACTTGGGATGAGATGGAAGAGGCGTTCCATACCCAATTCTACCGAACAGAAACAGAAGCTACACTGGCAGACATATCTCGATTATCTCAGTTGCCGAGCGAATCGGTTGAGACTTTTGTTGCAGGTTCAGAAAGGTTAAACTCAAATGCCGAGTAAGTTTGCCAGAACCATAATACATCAAGTTGGCATTGAATGGTCTAAACATTGAACATCGTAAGAGGTTTGATAGGGTTGAGTTTCAAGATCTCTTTGATTTAGCAGACAGGGCTTCTCGGTATGAGGAAATACTAAAAGAAGAGAAAGAAAGGAAGAATTCTTCTAAGGGTACTTGATACAAGGACCCTAATTATGAGGTATTCTCGGCAGAAGTTGGAGATGAATTAGAAGTTAAGTTGCAGAAGTCAATATTAAAAAGCCATACGTTTGTGAGGCGTTGGTTAAACCTAAACCAACCACGGGGGGCAATTCATCAACATCAACATCAGCAGCAAGGAAAGGTCCTGCCGATACTAAGAAAAACTATTCTTTCGAGTTATCGAAAACAGACCAAATCTTTGATCACTTGATGGCCGATAAAATGATATATTTGCCTAAAGGGCATAGGATTCCATTGGCAAGTGACTTGAAAGGAAAAAAGTATTGTAAGTATCATAACTCTTGGAACCATGCTACTAATGATTGTACTGTTCTACAAGGTGTGTTGCAGAAAGCTATTGACAAAGGTACTTTAAAATTCCCGGTGAAAACTTTAGAGACCATGAAGGTGGATACTAATCCATTTCTTACAATCACATCTACAAATGTGATAAGCTTAGCCAAGCGAAAGAATCGACAAAAGGCTGAAAAGATATCTGGTGAGTTTCTTTCATCAACTGTGACACCTGAAAAGATGGCAGAATTGCAGAAGCAATTAAGGGAGGCTCAGTTAGCCTTAATTGACCATGGTTGTTGCCCAAAAACAAAGGAAAGCAAAAACCAAAGGAAGATGTGCCAATGGAGGTTCAACCAAAGAAGAAATGAATTCTTGAGAGGCTTATTTTCCCATTGAAGCCTGGGGAGGAGACTCGGCAAGGTGGTCCCAACAACAGCCATTTGAAAGCGGGAAAGCCAACTCAGCAAGTTGGTATATCTAGCCGATTTCATTCCCAAAATCGGCATCCTAGTTTTAAGAGGCAGTTGCCAGTTCAGTCAGAAATTTGGGTACAGAAAGGAACCAATTCATATAGAGTACGAACTGTGAAACCAAGGACAGACTCAAGTGAAGATAGATGGACTCGAGTTAATCATCTAAAATTCCCTAAAGCTCAACAATATCAGAATGGGGGCCTAACTTGATCTCAGAAACATAGGGAACAAAGGAGAATGGCTGAGGAAAAAAGGAAAGCTGAGGAAGAAAGCAAAGTAGTGCAAGCCGAGAAAATCGATATTCCAGAAAAAAAATGAACCGGATAAGAAGCATCAGCCGACGTGGCCCAGACGCAACAATGAGTTGATAATTCAGTTTGACATTTTGCCAGATGAGATGTCATGTAACATGGCATTTGTATTACCAGCAATGTTCCAGGCTCCATCGGCATCAAACGCAAATACTAAGAAGAATGAGAAGGAAACTCAGCCGATTCGGAATTTATCAATTCTTTCTTCAGAATCGGCAGAGAAAGTGGTTTTTGAAAAACCTTTGTTAGCAATGCCTCAACAACTCAGGCCTTTGTATGTTAAGGTATGGGTAGAAGGTCAACCTATTAATCGAGTCTTGGTAGACAATGGCTCGATTCTGAATGTTATTCCAGCAAACACATTGAAGAAACTCAGCAAGAGTATGAAAGATGTTATTCCTACTGATGTAGCAATTTGTGGTTTCAACGGAGGCTCTACTAGCACTAAAGGGATCCTCCCCCTAGAAGTAGAAGTAGGAGGTAGGACATATTTTGCAGCTTTCTTTATTATTGAATCCATGGCTTCCTATAATTTGTTATTAGGCCGTGACTGGATTCATCCAAATATGTGCATCCCAACATCATTACACCAGATGCTGATTTTTTGGGATGGAGATAAGGTGAAAATAGTGAATGCCGACGATAAGCCATTTGTGACAAAAGTGTACTCGGCAGATGCTGTTTTGTATGACGAAGAATGTGTTCCTATTCGATTTATGGGAACAGGAGCCGATAGAAGACCAACCTCGGCAACCATGAGAAGAAGTCTTGCTAATCATGAAATCGGCGAGTTGCAGCAGGAGAATTCTAGGCCGAAGGTAGAACTCCCTCGGCTTACTATAATTGAAGAAGTTGTTGATGGAAGTGAAACTTGAAAGGGAAGCGGCTCGGCAGCAGGCCTTTAGGGCCGCTTGCATTAGGCTACAAGCATACATAGCCGAGAAACGGCTAGAAAAAGAAGCAATAATAGAGCCAAGACCATCGGTTAACCTTACTGAGATCGATCGGTTCAGTAATGAAAAGTTAGATGCAATTCAGTTGGAAGACTTGGAATTGGCACCAGCTAAGCTCGATGATCTTAAAGCAGAAACTTAAGATCCATTAAAGGAGGTGAATTTAGGCACTAACGTAGAGCCTAAACCAACTTATATCAGTGCACTGTTAGAACCAGAATTGCAAGCCGAGGTTATCGGTATGTTAAAGCAATACAGTGACTATTTTGCTTGGAATTATGAGGAAATGCCGGGTTTATCCAGAGATCTGGTGGAACATCGGCTGCCCATTAAAGATGGCTACAAGCCATATAAACAGCCACCTCATCGAATGTCTCAAGAGGTGGTAGATAAAGTCAAAGTGGAAATCGAACGATTGTTGGATGCTGGCTTCATTCGAACTACAAGGTATGTTGATTGGTTATCAAATGTAGTCCCTGTTATCAAGAAGAATGGAAAATTACGTATATGTGTTGATTTCTGAAACATAAACCTGGTAACTCCAAAAGATGAGTATCCAATGCCGATTGCCGATCAGCTAATTGATGCGGCTGCAAAGCACCAGATTATGTCTTTTATGGATGGACACTCAGGCTATAATCAGATTTATATAGCCGAGGAGGATATTCCAAAGATAGCTTTTAGGTGTCCTCGATCGATTGAAACTTTTGAATGGGTGGTAATGCCTTTTGGGTTGAAGAATGCTGGTGCCACATATTAGCAGGCCATGAATTCTATTTTTCATGATATGCTCAGTAAGTTTATGGAGGTGTATATTGATGATGTAGTGGTAAAATCCTTAACAAAAAAGAGCACTTGGTTCATCTCAAAGCATCCTTTGAGAAGATGAGGGCTCATAAGCTAAAAATGAACCCAATAAAGTGTGCCTTTGAAGTATCGCCAGGAAACTTTTTGGGTTTCTTGGTTCATCAAAGGGGTATAAAGATCGATAGGAATAAAGTTAAGACGATTATTGATGCTAGTGCACCGAGAAGCAAGAAACAGTTGCAGAGGTTACTTGGGTAAGTGAATTATCTTAGGAGATTTATTGGTAATACAGCTGGGAAATTACATGTGTTTTCCCTACTACTCAAGTTGAAGCCGATGGAAGAATTCAAATGGGATGATACACATCAAAGGGCATTTGACCAGATTAAGAAATACTTGTCAAGTCCTCCTGTCATGATGCCACCAAGGGAAAAATGGCTGATGAAGTTATATTTATCAGCTGCTGAAGAATCCAATAGAGCTATGTTAGCACAAGAGAATGAAGCAGGAAGTGAACAAGCAATATATTATCTCAGCCGAGTTTTAACTCCAGTCGAGTGTAGATATACACCGATTGAGAAATTATGTTTGGCTTTGTATTTTGCAGCAATGAAATTAAGAGTCTATATGTTGCCTGTTTTGGTTTATATTATTTGCCAAACCGATCTTATAAAGTATATGCTATCAAGGCCATTAAACACAGGCTACATTGGCAAGTGGGCTTTGGCACTAATGGAGTTCAACTTTGCATATGTTCCACAAAAGGCAATTAAGGGAAAAGCATTAGCGGATTTTCTTACCGATCATCCCTCGCCTTAAATTGAGTCACAAATATTTGATGAGCTTGACTCAACATCCATATTCATGACTCCATGGACTTTAACGTTCGATGGGTCAAGTACCAGTGAAGGCGCGAGAGCTGGTATAGTTATAATATCCCCAATAGGGAATCAAATTTTGTTTTCCTTCTTTTTGGATTTCAGGTGTTCAAATAATCAAGCCGAATATGAAGCATTAATTATCGGTTTGGAAATCCTACTAGAAATGGCAGTTAAAGACGTCTACATTGTAGGAGATTCAAGTTTAGTGATTAATCAAATCTCAGAAGACTTTAGATGTTTGAATTGGCAATTAAGACCATTTCATTCGTTGGCAACCCAATTGGTCAACCAATTTCACAATGTGACTTTGGAATACAGACTAAGGGCCATGAATAAAAAAGCTAATGATTTAGTACAGACTGCTTCAGGAGTCAAGGTGCTGAGTGGTATAAAGGAAAAGATAATGAAAATTACACGCCGATCTATTCCATCAGCTGAAACAAGAAATCAAGTTATGGAAGAAGTCTTTGCCATTGATATTGCCGAGTTGGATGATGATGATTGGCGAATCCCTTACATCTTGTTCTTGCAACATCCAACTCCAGAAGCCGATCGAAGAATAAAAAGAAGTGCAATCAATTATGTATTTATGGATGGAGATCTTTATAGAAGATCGGTTGATGATGGTTTGTTATTTCAATGCATTAGTAAGTTTGAGAGTTTAAAGATTATGGTTTAGGTAAATGAAGGGATATGTGGAGCTCACCAAGCCGGCATAAAAATGAGGTGGTTGATACGTCAATATGGATATTATTGGCCAGGAATGAGAAAAGATTGTATGACTTATGCAAAAGGTTGTATAGACTGTCAAAAACATGGTCCGATGCAATGGGTTCCAGCAATAAAGATGCAATTACTAGTTAAACCATGGCCTTTCAGAGGTTGGGCTATGGTTCTAATCGGCAAGATCAATCCTCCTTCATCAAAGGGTCATCATTGGATTATTTTAGCTACCGATTACTTTACTAAATGGGTAGAAGCCGAGGAATATGTATCGGTAACTCATAATACCGTTATACAGTTTTTGGAGCGACATATCTTTCACCGATTTGGATTGCCGGAAACAATTGTTGCCGATAATGGATCTATTTTTCGAGCAAATGAAGTATTACAACTTAGCCGTGATATGCAGGTGAAAATGGTAACTTCAACACCCTATTATGCTCAAGGGAATGGTCAGGCCGAGACTTCAAATAAAGTTATTATTGAAATTATTGAGAAAACGATAAAAGACAAGCCGAGGCGTTGGCATGAAACCCTTTCAGAAGCTTTGTGGGCTTATAGAAATTCGAAGCGGACAAGTATTGGGATAACTCCTTATCAGCTTACATTTGGCCATGATGCTATACTGCCGATGGAGTTAAATGTGAAATCGGCAAGAGTAGCTTTACAACACAATCTTATACCTACCGATTACAACAAAGCTATGCTTGCTGAGTTAGAAGATTTGGATGAAGTCCAGAAACTTGCTTTAAACCACCTCATGGTCCATAAAGCAAAAGTAATGAAGGCCTACAACAAAAGGGTGAAGTTCAAGTCATTTGTAGAGGGTGATATGGTTTGGCAAACAATTCTTCCACCTGGAAAGATGGATAGAACTTATAGAAAATGGTCACCCACATGGAAAGGCCCATACTTGGTTCACCAAGTATTACATGGAGGCGCTTACAGGTTAAAAGATTTAGATGGTGAAATCCATGAGAGACCAATAAATGGAAGATACCTTAAAAAATATAAGCCAACTATTTTTGAGCTCATGGAAGAAAAGAAAAAATTCCAGTAACTCAAGATAGTGTGGATTGTATTTTATGCAAGGTATGTAAAGATAAGATTTGCTCCTGTGATAAATAAGTAGTAGCATCAATATATTATGATGGCTAGATTGTTCAAAGAAAACCACATTACTTCCCAAAAGATGCAAATTATTTGAAAATCACATTACAGATCCATAATAATTGTCATGAGATAATAAAAATTCAAGGTTGGTTAAAGTTCTGATGAAATTTTTCAAATTGGACTTTGAAACTTGCCCATGATACTCTGGTTTGATCGAGCTTTGCTTCTGCCTGCTTCTTGGACTGCTCCAACTTTGGCATTTAAGTCTGTTGTGCTTTGAACTTGGGGGCAGCAACTTCTACTTCTTTCTTTAGTTCTGCCACTTTGTTGTTGAGTTGGGATTTGCCTTTTTGAAGCTGAGCTAGTTGTGCTTGAAGTTTTTTCTCCCTTGCATCCAGTTCAGCAGCTTCTCTTTTCAATGACAAGTGCAATTCTTTTCCATTCTTCAAAGATTGAGCAAGCAGTTCTTTCTCTTGGGTTTGAGCAGCACAATGGTTGAGAGCTTGAGTAGACTCGGCATAAGCAGTAATCATGGAAGGGACTTGAAGTTGAAAGTTTTTGAAGAGAGCTTGGTCACCTAAAGAGAATCCTGGGTAACTACTCAAAAAGAACAATGTTTCAGTTAACTCATTTCTGAATGAAGGGGCTAGAGGCAAGTCTTGCTGCACCATTTAGGACAGGATCTTAATGGCTTTTGTTATTTCCAGGGGAGTTTCAGAAGTTTTTTCAGATGGGATTTTAGGATACTCAAGATCCGGTAAGTCAAATACAGAATCAAACAGCGAGTCAAAGGTTGCGAAAGGAGAATTTGGGTTGATATTGACAGGAATGGTTGGAGTAACCGAGTCTTTTTGTACCTAAAATATGTTGGGTTAGCCATAGTTATAATGAGTTTACAGGAACAGGTCATAAAAAACATATATATATATCATCACTTACTTCATCAGAATCTCCAATTTATTCACCAATTAAAGTTGCAACCAGGTTAGGGGAAGACACTGGAGACCTTGGCTTTTGTCCTACTGATAATTCAATTTTGTCTTCATCTTCGACATGATCTGTAGAAATTTCCTGAATTGATTTCTGATCTGAGGAGATTGGAGCTTTCTGCAAATAATGCCGATTTAGTTATATTCAAGGCGTAAAAAAGGTAATATATATAAGATCAGGCAACAAAGAAATTACATTGGGAGATTCAGTAGTAGGTTTCTCTTTCTTGGAGATGACTTCATCATCATCCACTTCATCATCATCAATCAAATCAAAGTGTCTCTTGGCTTTTGACTTTTTGGGTTTCTTTCCCATGGTTTTCCTTCTTGTAGCTTTCTGGAAAAGAAGTTTAAGTAAGGGAATGGTATGCATCAAAAAGGATATATATGATTCAATTAGGAGTATTACCTGAGTGGCCGAAGATGGGGGTATACTTTGCAAAGGAACATAGAAATCAATATGAGTTTCTTTAGACTTGGTAGGTGCAGATTTCTCTGGTACATTGGAATATGTGCCTGGATTCATGTTACCTATTGTTAAGTGATCATATAAACCAAACATCAGTATTATGGAAAGGATAAGGGTAGAAAACTTACTTTGTCGAGAGCGAGATCTGGTCCTACTTGCAGGAGCTGTAGGAGGAGGACGAGTTGGTGCAACATTTGTTACATTCTCTTATTCAAGAGCGGTAGTAAGATCAATGGGTTCAATGGAATCCATACCTTGAAAATTGAGGGATATGAATTTGTAGGAACCAAGGAGAGTGGACACAAGTTGACTGGAATCTACAGTCCTGGTAAAATTGATATATGAAGCCCACCAGGTTTCGAAGCTTGGATCTATATGCGGTTCTTCTAGAAAGGACTTGTACTGAAATTCTTGAAGACGTTGGGTAAACCGATTGGTAACATCCTGAATCTGTTCACTGTTTGAGAGCTTAACCCCCTTATGATAATTCTTGTTGTAAGAAAAATAAGGAGGCACTGGGATCATTTGGGTCAATCCAAATTGCCGAGCTAATTGCGCTGGGTTGTAAAATTCAACCCCATTTCGGCTCTTAGGCAAATTGGGAGCAACGATATTGCAAGGTATATCTCTTGCAATCAAGAAATGGACCCATGAAGTGATATAAAGGTCAATCTGTTTAGGTGAAGACTCGGCAGTAGGAGGAAACAACCAAGATGGAGCTAGTTGACATTTGAAAAAAGGAAGGAATCGGGATTGAGTCCTGATCTTGCATTGATGATAGAAAAATTGAAAACAGTCATTAAAGGAGTGGTCTTTGGGTTTGACTCTAGCATACCCAAATGACAGCAAAAGATCATTAGGGGCAAGCCGAATGGGAAGAGCTAGTTTAGAAAAATATGCATGCAACCAAAATTGGTAAAGCCAAAGTGGTCTTCCAGACCTTGAAAAGTTGGAAGTAATGAGGTCGGACAAGCCTCTATATAAAGAAGCTAAGAGAAACGGAGCTAGTGCCATAGGTTTTCCTTTAGATAGGGTAATGGCCAGTTGGGTAAGGTCCTTGGTGATCTGAATGGCAAGGGCACACAACAAATATCTACATAACCACAATCGTAGAAACCCTATGTGTTGTTGTTCATCTACATCGATCCCTTCTTCCCCTAACATTTCTTTCAAGAAAGGACCATGTGATTGCACATAGGGTTTAGCCCCTTTTTGTTCTGGAAAATAAAATAAGGTCTCTTCATCCTGAAGGAGATAATTGATTTCATCTCCCCCAGGCCTTAACCCCGTTAAAAAATAGACATCCCTCAAGGTAAGAGCCATCATACTACAGTGCAAGTGTAGTGATGAGGTCGGTCAAAAACTGCTCTCCTTTCGCTGCTGATACACGATCCACCCAGTCGTTCCATTGGAGCATTGGTGGATGCCAATTTCTAACAGAGAGAGTTGGTCTGTCCCCTTCCGCTGTCAGATAGAGAGGTTTTGAGAAAGGAAGTTGTTGCTCAGCTTGGGGATAAATCAAGGATAACGAAGGAGGAAATCGATTAAGAAACGCTGGGCTAAGTTCCTTAGCGTTCTCTGTGATATCGATCAAGGTGGTGGCATTCAGGTCGGTTAGGGCTAGGGTTTTGATTACAGATTTTGTTATTTGGGTATGCGATGTTGCTTCGGGAGAGAGAGTTTCTAAAATCAAATCACTTTGCTTCTGTGATTTTGAAGCCATAGTTGCAAGAAGGATTTAGTTGCAGAAAGAGTTTCAGAGAGAGAAGAACTTTGATAGAAAGAGAGGATTTCGTTTGCAGAGTTTCGTTCAAATGAGAGAAGATACGTGTTCTTTGGTGGAAAATAAAAGGATCATCACAATGTAATTAATGACTGATATGATGGGTTAGTGTGATCGGCATTTTTGGGAAATCTACTCCTGATATAACTCAAGAGATTATATGATATGTGTGTTATGTCCCAACGCAATGGGTGTATTCAAATTTTGGAAGCCGAAGGGTTAAAACGGCTACCAAAATTGGGGGGCATTGTTGACACCCATTTTGGCATTTGGGTTGTAGACCCATCTTCGGTCCAATCATGGGTCCATAAACCAAATGTCCTTGGCACCCATTTTGGTAATTGGGTTCTGGCCCTAATTGGATTTGATGGACAGTGAAGCAAGTAGTAGTATGGGCCATGTAAAACCTGTAAAACAATGATGTGCTGGAGGATAGGGCCGAGAGGATAATGGGCTGAAGCATGTGACAATGAGATTGGGTTAGAAGATATTTTGGTAAGCAATTGATTTGGTCTTCGGCTGGGATAATACAATACAGTTAGAATGTTGGGCTTCACACATTGCATGGATTGTTGTTGGTTTGGATGACATGGCAAAAGATGGCAAAGCTACATACAAGGGCACTGCAGATAGGTTAGAAGATATTTAAATTGCAAATATATTAGATAAGAGTTATATATTTATCTTGCATTTAAATGGAATTAAGAGTTAGTATTTAGTTAGGATTAGTTAGATTTGAATAATTATTTGGATGTATTAGAATACAACTAGGATGCTTGTATTTAGGTTTTTGTTTACTATTTACTCTATAAATAAACAAAAGGGTACGCTGAGAAAGAGGTCCAGCACCCTCAGAATCTTTATTATTATTTGTTTGTTTTCTCAAGCTTTTCCAGGAATAGCATCCTTGCTATTTGTGGTTGGTTTGGATGACATGGCAAAAGATGGCAAAGCTAAATACAAGGGCACTGCAGATAGGATAGAAGATAATTAAATTGCAAATATATTAGATAAGAGTTATATATTTATCTTGTATTTAAATGGAGTTAAGAGTTAATATTTAGTTAGAATTAGTTAGATTTGAATAATTATTTAGATGTATTAGAATACAACTAGGATGCTTATATTTAGGTTTTTGTTTACTGTTTACTCTATAAATAAACAAAAGGGTACGCTAAGAAAGAGGTTCAGCATCCTCAGAATCTTTATTATTATTTGTTTGATTTCTTAAGCTTTTCCAAGAATAGCATCCTTGCTATTTCTTCTTTCCTCTTTCTATATTTCTCGATCTCTCGTTCTATCTATTTCTCTCTTTCCTTCTATCTCTCTCTTTTCTTCCTATATCTATTTTCCTCCCATTTCTATTCTCTTGATACGATACTATAATTTATTCTCTATAAAGTCCTTTAATTAGGCAATTTTGAACCCAAAGAGGAATTTTTCTATTCCCTTTTTCCTTACAATCGCCTGAAAGTCAACTTACTCAAAGGGACTAAAGTTGACAATTTATACTTGAACCACACAAGTGGTTCTGGCACACCCGTATTACATCAATTTAGGATCGGCTCTAGCCAGCCGATTTTAGCGTCAACACAACATCACTTCGTTGCACATATAATCAAAGTAATTTTTAATCTTAAGCCTAACATCCAAATAAATCAAATCCTTTACACTTTAACCATATTAGTTTAGTAAAGTACTATTTA